AAAGCCACCGTAAATTTTTTCTCAGGTGAGTAAGAATCTCTGTCAATATTGAGACAATCTGAAGTTGAGATTTGTCTCAGTTTAAGAGCGCTAGACTAAGTGAAAGCCAGGCCTGGTCAGACTGCACTGTGACCGACTCTATACCAGTGGCAAAGACTTTATCACATTTCTCTCCAACACTTAAATTTAGTTTAACAAGAGCCATGTCAACATGGCCATCCCCCCCGAATGTGTTTGCTCATTGGAAAAATGTATATGTAGTAGAGAAGAATAATTCCATTTTAAGAGGTCTTTTGGTAATGAAAACTGATGGCTATAGTGATTACAGGTTTGAAACCTATGTGAATACTGATGGCTGAAAATAACAAAGGGCAATAACTGAAAAATAATGCAGGGTAGGTTATCATTCTTGTGTGCTGCATCCCTCCTCAGTAAAATCTATCCCCCTATGAAGTTTCAAGTTGATACCTCAAATACTTTTTGAGAAAAAAATTGAATTGAAAAATTAAGTATGAAAAATAACAAAGGGCAATAACTCAAAAATTATAAAAGGTAGAGTTATCATTCTTGTGCAGTGCACACCTCTTGAGTGAGATCTATGCACCTATGAAGTTTCATTTTGATATCTCAAAGGCTTTTTGAATTATGCTCTGGACAAAAATTAATTTTGAAAAATAACATAGGGCAATAACTCAAAAATAATGCAGGGTAAAGTTATCATTCTTAAGCACTGCACTCCTCCTCAATGAGATCCATCCACCTTTGAAGTTTCAAGTTGATACCTCAAATACTTTTTGAGATAAGCTCTGGACAAAATAGCATGAAAAAAAACAAAGGGCAATAACTCAAAAATTGTATAGGAAAGAGTTATCATTCTTGCGCACAACATTCCTCCTCAATAAGATCTATCCACCTATGACATTTCATGTTGATATCTCAAACACTTTTTGAGTTATGCTCCACTCAGGTGAAAAATTAGGTATGAAAAATAACAAAGGGCAATAACTCAAAAATTATGAAAGGTAGAGTTATCATTCTTGTGCACTGCACACCTCCTGAGTGAGATCTATGCACCTATGAAGTTTCATGTTAGTATCTCATAGGCTTTTGGAGTTATGCTCTGGACAAAAATCAATTTTGAAAAATAACAAAGGGCAATAACTCAAAAATCATGCAAGGTAGAGTTATCATTCTTGTGCACTGCACTCCTCCTCAATGAGGTCTATCCACCTATGAAGTTTCAAGTTGATAACTCAAATACTTTTAGAGATATGCTCCGGACAAAAATGTCGGACAGAAGGAGACTATTTCTATATCCTCCGCCGAAAATTTTCGGCGGGGGATAATCAAAACATTCCACTCATGTTATATAAATAAGGATATATGCAAAATAAATATTTTTGCACCCATTACATTATTTAGTAAGGGCTATCTTGGCAAATTTAACATTATTTAGGCTGTCAACACAGATAATAAGTGTCTAGCTTTAGCTTATTGGCCACACAGTGTTCAACAATTTTAAAACATTTACTAAACCTTCATGAAAATTTGCACAAACCTGGAGATGTGTTGCTTTATAATAATTATTTGCATCAATATGATGCAGATAACCTAAAAGTTTACAATTATGTGTGTGTCATCATTATGCCTAGTGCATTATTAAATACAATGTAGTACTGGAATATACCAGTGCCCTTTCTTACAATACAATAGAAGCATAGATAATGCATTCTGTTGTAAATAAGTAAGTAAGGTGTTTTTTCCCCTCCTTTAATCTTGTAATAAAAACAATAATTTACAGAATGTGCAAAGTCCATACCAGTATAACTAAATAATTTTAAAATAAACCATAAATCATATGATGAACTCGAGACATTTGTTTACATATTTTAGAGTAGTAAACTAGTATATTCTTGTTCAGTTAACCAGTCTTTTCTACATCAGTTAACTAGTTCAATAAATTAGTCTTTTCTAGATCAATTAGCAACTTAATTCTTGTTTAGTTAACTTGTCTAATTAAGACCAGTTGACCAGTTTACTTAAAACTAGTTTATTCTAGACAAGATAACTATTATATTCAAAATTAGTTAAATTTATATTTTAAACCTGTTAACTTGGATACTATAATTACATTAGTTAACTGTTATATAGTAGACAAGTTAACTAGTATATTGTTGACTAGTTTATTGTATTTCAGTTAACTAGTATATTGTTGACTAGTTAACCAGTTTATTGTATATCAGTTAACTTGTATACTCAACATCACTAATTCCGCGTCATCATTTATCTCACGGTAATGGCATATTTTCATGTGACCATTGTTATAATTGGTCAGAATTGACATATTTTATTCAAACACCTTAACAACAAAGTTTTTGTGCAAAATAATTTAAATCTATAGATTTTTACGTAAAACTGAACAACATTTTACAAACTTCTGCAAAAAACAACAATAGTCCATTAAATTTGTGCATATGTCTGAAACAATCATCATTTTCTAAATGTTCTTGTTTGTTGAAAAAATAAATTTTGAGTTACAATGTAAAAATACTTTTAATATTTAAAATTATGCAAAATAACTTAAAGAAATTTTAACTGAAACATGAAAAAACTGAAATAAAACACCATTATCGCGAGGTAAATGATGACATACTGTTTTCAAAATGGCCGACACATGGTTTACATCTGAAAAAATTAAAACTAATATTGATTGAATATATTGTTGTTACCTTGTGTCATATAGCAGAAAAATGACTAAATGATACAGTTTATGACAGTTTTTGTAGTGTAAGTTTATTTTTTGTGTTCTTTACTGTTTTAAAGTGTTAAGTACCGTGAACTAAGAGGAGCACAGTATATATATATTATAACAATACACTAATATATTGTAGAATACTTAACTGGTATACTCAAGACCAGTTTACTAGACAAACATGTATATAATCTGAGAAAACAACAGAATTTATTCACAAAACAAAACAACTATAAAGACAATATCTTGGGGAAGTAAAACAGGCATATAAATAAATGAGGACAAACTAAGATTGCATATTACCTACAAAATAAAATTACATCTTGATTTGCATGAATATACTGATTTAATACATAAAATCAAATGTAGGAAACCAAACTGCAAAATTCTCTCCTTATAAACATCATTAGCATAAAATGACAGTGATTCTTCCTATATTATACGATTGCTGTTTAATTCTAGTGTTGAACCTTGAAATCAACGTTTGCATTACACAAGCAAAAATGCACACAAGACTTTAATATTAGTATTCATTTAAACCAAATTAAAGTATATAGATATGTTCAATATTAAAATTAACGCTAGAAAAGTGTGATATTGAGTTTTAGTCAACATTTTATCAATCTAGGTATGATATCAGATAACTTTTATTGTTTCGCATCTGATTTGTCTTGTTTTTCTATCAATCAAAACACATATCTGGTCATATCTTGTCCGTCCAGCTAACTGGCCTTACCAGATAACTTATCAGTAATGACCAACATCTATGTAAGTGACCAGATACTGACCCTACATGATATTGTTAAAATGATATCAAAATATGAGCCGCGTCACGACAAAACCAACGTAATGCGTTTGCGACCAGCATGGATCCAGACCAGCCTGCGCATCCACGCAGTCTGATCAGGATCCATGCTGTTCGCTTACAAACCCTATTACAAGTAGAGAAACTGATAGCGAACAGCATGGATCCTGATCAGACTGCGCGGATGCGCAGGCTGGTCTGGATCCATGCTGGTCGCAAACGCATTATGTTGGTTTTGTCGTGACGCGGCTCATATAGACAAGACAATCATAAGTTAATTTTGACTGATGACAGATGTACATACACATGAACTACAATATAATTAGGGGTGTCACGTTTAAACGGGTATGGTCGTTTTTTTAGCTAAAAACTGGATAGTAAATTCAACAACCGGTAACCGAGGTTAGTATTTGAAAGAGGAGAAAAACTTTTAAATTGATTTTCACGATAACATTAGTTTATTATAACAAGATATGACAATTTGTCTGTAATTTAGTTGTACTAAACAACATATTTTTTTTCCCGATCTGACAGATTACGTTACGACCCTATCAGAAAATGATCATTTTGAGTACATAAAATGCGAACAAAATGTCAAATCTTTTCATAAAAAATCAAATTTAATGCTGAAAATCTAAGACTAAGAATTATATCAGTATGGTCGGTTAAACACGGTTATCTGGTCTCCATTTAAATGGTTAGCATTTTTTCTAACCGTGACACCCCTACATATAATGGAGATCTTGCACATTTGAGAAATTCATGAATTAAAGGAACTCCACTCAAGGTCCAAAACCCTAAAAACATAAAATTTGAAATTGTTACATAGATCAACAAGCAAACTTAAAAGAGAGTACAAATATGCAAAAACTAATACAGAAATATACCCATAATTAAACTGAACGTCACATTTACTGCAATTATTATCTGACTTTAAGTAACTCATTAAATGACCTTAGTGCAGTAACAGGTTAAGTCCTAAATCTAATAGGAGTTACCCAGTTACTGCACTAAGGTGACAAAATTTAATTCTTTTTATAATTTCTGTGTAGATTTGCATGATAAAAAGGATTGTTCTGGAAAAATGGAGTAAACGAATGATCTGAACTTTCATCAAATTTTGCACATATCTCAAAGAAATATTTCTCTTCAAAACCTCAGTGGAGTCCCTTTAAATTCAAAAACAGCTTGTTATATTTAAAACTATGCATCTTATTCAAATAGTTACACTGACAACAACTTCAATCCAAGTCGGTCTTTTGCAGTTTTAAAGTAAACTAATTTGCATTTATATTGACAATAATGCATTTTGCTTCATTTAGAAAGCATAAAAATTACCATTCAAACAATTGAGCATTAAACCAACGTTTAATCTTGTCAGATATCTAAACAAACTTTATAAAAAATATGCAATATTTAAGAAATAGGATATCCCAAACTGTGATCAATAAAACCAATGTTTGGAGTTTGGATGCGATAATTATAACACGCGTGTATCCTAAAATACCCCACAGATTTGAGTATATTATTTTGATTCTAACACAACATAAACAAATAAATTTTGTCATATCTGATTTTTAAGCTTAAAATTACTGGGTGATATTCTTTTCCAGGATGATAGATCAAAACAACACCATGTGATGTCACATTTGGCTACATAGTAAAAAGTTTACGCGAGGTACAATAAATATCTTACTGAATACCTTAGGGCATTATTTTAATATAATTAAGAGACAGTCACTAGATTACATCTATAATTACTTTCTTAACATTTTTTTTGACAATTGACATTGCTTTGCTTTGAATGCTGAATGGATTTCAATTGTGAATAACCTAATACGGAGCCCGTCAAATTGCACAACCATGCACTGGTACTATTGTCTGATACAGGCAAAACTACGGGTGTAACAGTTAACAAAAACGTTAACTGTTTAAATGGTGGCCAAACAATTGTGTAAAATGTTAAACCCCTTGTACTAGAAGAATTCTCTTCTCTTGGCGCTTGCAATGTCTTGTTTGGAGCTTTCAAAATGTTTTAGTCAGTGCAATATGATTTTAGACACAAAATTATACTAAGTTACTAACACTAACAGTTCATTTTTTAACTTAACATGTATAACTTTATAAGCTTGGTTCACACTTTTTTACATGTATAAAAAAATTGTAAGGTTTTACTCTTAATACTATAGACTTACACTTAAAAGCAAAAAAATATCTAAAAAGAAATCACATAATAAACAAAGATTTTAACTTAACTCAAAGACAGATAAAGCGAGGTTAATTTCTATGCAAGCAGTTGTTCCTTTCAAGTCTATAAGGAACTTGAAATGTTTCAAAATGAAACAAAACATTGAATCGGGACTTCGAGTGGAGAGCATTCTGGGAGATTACGTCACGGGTCAGACTGCGTCATTTTATCTGAAAATCTCTGACTTCATAAATCCACAAACAATTGCAACTTCCTCTCACTGGCAAATTAAGGAAGGTATCACAAAATTTACTTCAACCACATTTGCCCAATCACCGAAATAACCCCCCCCCCCATTTATATCGCATAATTACCCCATTTGCCCTATCTGGCACCAACATGGAGTGGGGCAAAAAATTGCCCCAATATTTATTTTCCTGATAAAAATGCAGTCTTAAAAAAATTTGTCACAACATACATTGAAATGTCAACATTATCCAAATTGAAACGAAAATCCTCCTGGGAAGCCCCCACCTGCCCCTGAACCGCCTCCAAAGCTAAACTGTTGGCCGCCTCCCCCTCCGAAGAAAGACTGGAATATCAGATTTGGGTCTATATCTGAAACACAAAGAAAAAAACATTTTAATTAATCATCTTTACGTAAAAAAATTATTATTTACAGCATATTGAATGATTACATGTACAGGTTCAATACTGAACTTATTGAAGTTTTTTCAGTAAATATCACCTCATATTCACCAGCTAAATAGTCCATATTTGTATATTATATCCTATTATACTAAATAAAATTAAGTATATATTTTTAAGGGAATATATATTAAAGTTTTCAGAAAGAATATAAGGCCTTGAAAAAACAATCAAGCCTTCGCATCTTTTCTGCAGTCTACACCTCTTTTTGATCTTATTTTGCAGATTTGTGTCATTGATGTGTTAATAAGCTAATCAGAATGGCCGTTTCATAAACACTTAACAATGCCTCCCTTACATCAAACTTGAAAGAATTTAAAACATGAATATGAAAAATTTTAACAAAAAAAAAGATTATGTGACACTCATCAAAATTGCAGTTACCGTGGAAACCTCCATGCCCCATGCCGTCTAAATCTTCGATATCATGCCCAGCATCGTATCTTTGCCGTTTCTTCTGGTCGGATAACACAGAGTATGCTTCACCAACTTCTTTAAACTTCGTTTCTTCCTGTTTCTGTACCTCCGGTGTATCATGTGAATGCCGGTCTGTAACCGAGTAGAGAACATACAAATTAATTCCGCCATTTCATGATTTACACCTGCTTATTTTTAAGTTTTTCTGATACTATGTTCCATTTCCATGTTTACTTTGACTTTCTTTACAAATTAGTCCCGCCATATCGGGATTTAAACGTGGATTTGTTCCATTTCAATGTTTTTTTGTTGTTTTTTTGAAGAGTTTATTGCTTATGGGTTTTAAAAAAGGAATATTTTTTTTTGCTTGATTTTGAATCGCACCAACAAGGTATAGGTCATATGGTCTGTAACTGACTAGAGAACAAACAAATTTTTCTGTCACTTTGTTCATTTTTTTCCATGCTTTTTTTAAAGAGTTTATTGCTTAAAAGTTTTAAAATCTTTTTTTTTTTTTTGCTTGATTTTACATCGCACCAGCACAGTATAGGTCATAAGGCCATGAACCGGCACCCAAGTAGAACCACCAATGTTCCTTAAGTTTATAATGATAAAATAAAGAAATGAGCAATTACAAAGTGTCTTAGTCAAATTATATCTATGTGCAGTCTGGCGTGGCTCTTCAATTTTCTCACAGACACATCAATAAAGATATTACATATCAAATATCAAAACGAAAATAAAGCTATTTTTGTACAAAAGGCAGGTATGTATTTAATAATGAAAACGGATTTAGAAAATATGTCATGCTTATCACCTGATGAAAGGAGCGTTGAAAGTTAAATAAATTAGACTGAAGGTTGTAGATTCGGAAGCTGAACGCGAGATCAAAATTAATGGTGATAGGGGTGGATGGAAATGTTAGCAAGGAAAAGTTTGCAATATTTACCAGGATGGTGAACTAGAGCACGTTTTCTGTAAGCTTTTTTCACTTCATCGTCAGATGCTGTTTTGCCGACACCAAGTATTTTATAATAGTCCTTTCTCTTGCTTTTCTTTAACTCTAACTTTGCATCTTGTAATAATCGCTTATTTTCTGCAAAAAAGATAAATGAAAAAAATGCATTGATCCATTGTAACTGACGATGTGTGGGGGCAGTCTGTTGGTAAAATACTCCTAAAATGTTCCTGGACTATGTTTTGGACATATTCCCACGTTAAAAAAGGTCGAGATTTCCCCTTTTCTTTATCCACTATCAAAACCTTTGTGGGGAAGGAATAACCAAGCTTACAAATCCCTGGTACATAACCACTTTGCCTAACATCCACATCGTTTTTGATCACTATGCAACTGTTAAAGACAGGGCATCCCCTAATACAACAAATATAAATACAGTAGAACTTCTATGAGTCGAACTTCGATTAGTCGATTTTCTCGATGTGTCGAAGAAAAATGAAAGTCCCGATTCTTCCCCCTATATATTCCTTATAAAAACCTATTCATGAGTCGAGATTTTATGTGTCGAATTTTTCGATGTGTCGAAGTTTTTTCGTGGTCCATATAAAGTAAATCTAGTGTAATTTACCACAAATAAGTCGAAGTTGTTCGATTATTTTGACACCTTCGATCTCGAGACATTTTTCACACCTTATCTGGCTGCGAAGACGATTTTCAATCAACCTGTGTGACAGGTGTTTATTACACAGCCGTGTGTTCAAACAGCCTTTGTTTGCGATAAAATGTGTGATAAAATGCTTTAATCGTTACTATTTTAATTGCCATAGTGGTATTTGAAAGTAAACGGTAAGAACTACTTTCATTTGAAAGCATCAGGACCCGGTGTCGCGTGAGAATAACACGCGTAATATTTAATATAAGCTGGTTTAGTTATCGCCCTTTCGTATTGTTACGCCTTTTGTAACTCTATTGTATACGTATAATTAGTCGTGAAAAAAGTTATTTAACATTCTATATTTATCATTGTAAAATGTGAAATATCAGAATTATGATGGAAAAATATAAAATGGGTTTTGTTATAGATCTTATAATTAGGACTAGTCACGGGTCGAAATTTTGTCATGGAATTGAGAGCAATTCATGAGTCGAAGTCCCGATGTGTCGAAGTTTTTACGCAAATCCCTTCAACTTCGACTTACCGAAGTTCTACTGTATAAAAATTCCCAAAATATACCAAAGTTACAAATATAATTATATCTTTAAATATACACTACCTCTAGTTTTATCTAATTGGCAAATCTTCTCATAGTCCCTCACTGCCTCCTCAAACATTTCTGCATCCATGTAACTGAAAATATTCAATCATTTCAAATATCAAATATAACTGCACTCTGTATGCATGTATGTATTACATCCAAATTTTAACAAGGACCTTTTTCAAAACAAGACCTGTGCCCACACAGCACACTCTATTTTATCTAACTACTGGATAGCAAATCAAAAGTAAAAGTAGAAACAGGGTCAGAATTTGCACATGTGCTTGCTAGCCTTACCTGCCCTTGATAGTGAACAAATGTTTGAAGTGTAAACCTTAAATGTTTTAAAGGGACTCCACTGAAGTTTATTGACATGATAGGACTGAAAATATTTTTTTTGAGATCAATGTTTCATAATGAGTACAAAATGTCAGATCATTCGCTTCCTCCAAATCGGCTAAAAATAGCACAAAATAATAATTTTCAAATTTTTTTGAGTATATTTCTTTACTATCTTTAATATAGTTCTCTTTAAAGTGCCCCACCAAGCTGATATAATAATTTCGTACGAATTTCAAATTTTATGTTTTTAGGCTTTTGGACTTCAGTGGAGTTCCTTTAATAATTTTTGAGCTCTCCCTATTGAGCAATGCAGACAGATTGTACAAGAAAATGACTGTGATTCAGTAGGTCTTAGACACAAGATCCTTGGGTTGAAAGGGCTGACATTAATATTCTGAGATAATATCTTAAAGGAACGTAACCTTAGGCCCAAAAGCCTAAAAATTTCAAATTTGCATTTTTTACATAGATCATATGGGGCACTAAAAAGGGCAAATGTGCAAATGTAATTTGGAGCTATATTTGGAAATAAATAAAAAAATTGTATTTTACGCAATTTTTTAGTCTGATTAGAACGTAAATCGTTTAATTTTCAATTTCGGGTCAGGCTGGTCTGGATTTATGCTGGTCGCAAACACATTATGTTGGTTTTGTTATGGCGCGGCTCATATACCCATGATGTATATTTTAATACCTTTTTGCCCTCCTCATGTAAGCTTTTAAATATGTATCATCTAATTCTATTGCCTTTGTACAATCTTCTATAGCCTGGTCAGATTTATCTATCTGTAATAAAGAAAGTACAACAGTCCTGGTCAGATTTATCTATCTGTAATAAAGAAAGTGCATTGGTCAGATTTATCTATCTGTAATAAATAAAGTGCACTGGTAAGATTGATCTATCTGTAATAAAGAAAGTGCACTGGTCAGATTTATCTATCTGTAATAAAGAAAGTGCACTGGTCAGATTTATCTATCTGTAATAAAGAAAGTGCACTGGTCAGATTTATCTATCTGTAATAAAGAAAGTGCACTGGTCAGATTTATTTATCTGTAATAAAGAAAGTGCAACAGTCTTCACAAGCTTTTAAAACATCTATGAAATTTCATCCAAATCAGCAATATGGCTCTTAAAAACAACATATTAGGTGTCTGAATGTATAAACAACTTTTCAAATTTTAGTTATGATAAGATAATCTGTCCTACAAGCTGAACATACAATTTTTTTTTTTGAAATTTGAGAGTTGTTCAAAGCACTTGCTGGGATTTAAGCCCACAATGTTGAGGGGCCAGTGATCATAAATCAAGTGCTTTAACACATGAATATTGGTATCATATGAAGTTGGCACCCACTGAATACCTGACCAAGTGTTACCAGTAAGATTAACTATGTTGAAATTTTTCCATTTAAAATGACTACTGTTACGAAACTTAGTTTAACCCTAAGTACAAAAATAACAGCAAAGACCAAATAAAGAACACTCACTTTTGTGCACACTGTTGCTCTATTGCAGTACAGTTTCGAGTTTGTAAATTTATTATTTGGGTCTATAGTGAGGGCTGCTGTGTATATATTGAAAGCTTCCTGAAACTTGCCAGCTCGAAATTCTTTGTTTCCTTCTTCTTTCTTTGCCATCAGCTGCTTGGCTTTCTGAAAACAAGTTAACAAATTCAACTTAATTTTCTGGAACACGTTTACAAATTTAACTTGGTTTGCTTAACAATATAACAAATTAAAATAAGTTTTCTGAAAAATGTAAATAAATTCAACTTAAATTTCACAAATTCAACTTAATCATAGTGCATGATCAGACTACAGGGACATGCAGACTGGTCTGGCTCTATTTTGGCACTAAATGCAATATACTTTTGGTTCTAGCATATTAAATGTTAAACTTACTCTGTATGTGTCTTTGGCCTTTTGGTGGTCAGGGGCCAGTCGTAAAACTTGCTGGAAGTGCTGGAAAGCTTTCTCCATGTTGTCTTGGTAATATAAACACATTCCACGCACGTATAGTGCATCAGCGTTCATCGATTCACGCCGTAAAATGTCGCTGTAATTTGAGAAAATTGTAACAATAAAGGTATTTAAACAAGAGGGCCATGATGGCCCTAAGGTCGCTCACCTGTATATAGGCCCCCCCCCCCCAACGTTGCAGGGCCAATTTAACCCAAGGGCTTTTATTTGCACAAACTTGGTAGACACCCATAAGAAGATGTTTCATGCTAATTATCTAAGCTCTAGCTCATTGGGCTTTCTAAAAGAAGATTTTTTTTTAAGTTTTTACTATACACATATAGTTAAAAACAATGACACCCCTGGGGCCGGGCCAGTTTTGACCCCAGGGCTTTTATTTGAACAAACTTTGTAGACACTTACTAGAAGATGTTTCATGCTTAATATCTAAACTCTAGCTATTTGGGTTTTTTTCAAAGAAGATTTTAAGTTTATGCTACACACATATAAAGAAAATCAATGACCCCCGGGGCAGGGCCAATTTTGACACCAGGTCTTTTATTTGAACAGACTTTGTAGACACTCACTAAAAGATGTTTCATGCTTAATATCTTAACTCTAGCTATTGAGGTTTTTTCAAAGAAGATTTTTTAAGTTTTTGCTATACACATATAAGGAAAATCAATGACCCCCGGGGCAGTGCCAATTTTGACCCCAGGGCTTTTATTTGAACAAACTTGGTAGACACATATTAGAACATGTTTGATGCTAAATATCTTAGCCATAGCTCTTTGAGTTCTTTAAAAGAAGATTTTTTAATTTTTTACCTTAGCATATAGGGAAAATCAATGAACCCCGGGGCGGGGCCAATTTTGACCCCAGGGCTTTTATGTGAACAAACTTGGTAGACACTTATTAGAACATGTTTCATGCTAAATATCTTAGCTCTAACTCTTTTGGTTCTTTAAAAGAAGATTTTTTTAAAGTTTTTACTATATGCATATAGGGAAAATCAATGACCCCCTGGGGCGGAGCCAATTTTGACCCCAGGGCTTTTATTTGAACAAACTTGGTAGACACCTATTAGAACATGTTTGATGCTCAATATCTTAGCCATAGCTCTTTGAGTTCTTTAAAAGAAGATTTTTTAAGTTTTTACTATATGCATATAGGGAAAATCAATGACCCCCGGGGCGGGGCCAATTTTGACCCCAGGGCTTTTATTTGAACAAACTTGGTAGACACCCATTAGAACATGTTTCATGCTAAATGTCTTAGCTCTAGCTCTTTGGGTTCTTTAAAAGAAGATTTTTTAAGTTTTTACTATATGCATATAGGGAAAGTCAATGACCCCCCGGGGCGGGGCCAATTTTGACCCAAGGGCTTTTGTTTGAACAAACTTGGTAGACACTCACTAGAAGATGTTTCATGCCAAATATCTAAGCTCTAGCTCTTATGGTTTTTTAAAAGAAGATATTTAAAGTTTTTTCTTTCGGTTGCCATGGCAACCAGAGTTCTGCATGGAATTGAATTCTTTGAACAATTTTTAAAGGTGACCACCAAAGGAACATTCCTGTGAAGTTTGGATGAAATTGGCTTAGTGGTTTATGAGGAGATGTCATTTAAAGTAAAAGTTTACGGACGGACGCCGGACGGATGCCGGACGAAAAGCGATCACAAAAGCTCACCCTGTCACTTTGTGACAGGTGAGCGAAAAATCAGTGGGCATGCTGGCATTAACTTGGTCACATCGACATTGTTAAGGTCTTATGACTAAATGTAATTCCAAATTTACAAAATACTTTATGGAAACAATTTTTAAAGAAGCAATTTTGGCTTTAAATATATATAACAACCACTTTAGCTGACTAAATTCAAATACAAATACAGTAAGTCTTTATTGGTAAACAGGGCTCATCCGGAAGGGCGATTTAGGCGAAAACTTCGCCTTGTTTATTCCCATTTCGCTCTCCCCATTGATCAAAGAGAAGTCAACTTCGCCAATAAAATCTTAAATCCCAAAGAGTAATTACTTGGCGATGTAAAGAGCAGAGATTGTATCTCTGCCTACTGCTAATCAGAGCGTCGCTTTATACTACGCTTATACCTGTATGCAAAGCGATAGACCGCCTACTTTAAACAGTAAGTAATGAGAGCATCGGCCCAAGATGGGTATAATTGTGTGACAGTTTTGCGAGTTTTATATGGGATTAGGCGATAATTATACATTGTTTCTTCCCGATTATCTAAACACATGCAATCTTCCCTAATTGATATACACAATGCTCTTCGATGGCAGTGTTTAACCCAAGTAAAGGCGAGGTGCTATAGAGTTTTCATGGCTACCAAAGAACTGTTATTCATTAATGATCAGCGACCAGATTAAAAACTTAATCATATTTTTGAATGATTTCAGCCCGTTAACATCAAGTTTTACTGCAAAATTGTTATGTCGCTCACGCCATGGCTACAGGGCGTAATGCCCAAACTTAGCAGTAAAAGAAAGTTAGAAGAAGATTCTGATACACCAATTACAGATTTATATTACTTAATATATAAATCCCTGCACCAACGCGAAAATTTAAGAAAGCCAATTCACAAAAATCTTACGATTGGTTATGTTGTAGACAGTGAGGGAGTTTGGCATTGTTCTGTGTGTAGAAATGCAAAATTTGACACAGCTTAAGCACGTAGGAATGACATCCCGACTAAAACTATGAATCATGATCGTCATGCTACATAAAAGTTGTACATATCGGTCGTATATCATGTGATGTATGTAACAACAAAATTTGTCCGGAAAGAAGTGTTCTTATTGTTTCAATGTATGTATTTGTTTTTTATGCCTGAATATGATGCTCAAATTAAGATTTATCAATATTGTAAGTTTCAAAAGTCATTGATTATAAAGATAATACCGAATTTAACATTTCACGAAAATAAAGGGAGGTAATTAGAAATTTATTTTCTATAATGTCTCAGTCAAATTTATCAATAAGAAATAAATGTATATATTTTAGTGATTAAATATAATGTGCACAAATATTTGCAGTACATTTTTTACATATTCTTTGATGTTTGAAAATTGTTTTATAAGAATAATTATATGCATATATAAAATTTCACTTAAATGTGTTATTACCGTACTCGACAGCGAAAGCTGCATTTTGTGCCCAAAAAGGCGGATGGACCCTCATAAAGCATAGACTACATACATACATATGATATTACAACATTCAGTATACATGTATATATACATATATTTATAATAATAAAATTAATTAATAAACTGTGGAAATGTTAGAAGTGTTGTTAATTATATTAACATAATGTTATTTATTATAGTTAAAGGATGTATAGCCATGCATGTTAATGCATACATATTGGGTTGTTTCCCACCTCCCTAATTTTCACGAGGAAGTCACTTCTCCCTAAAATTTCCCCCCAGGATGAGCCCTGGTAAAGGAAAATGCTAAAAGGGTGCTTGTTTTTGGACACAATTATCCTTCTTTAAACTATTATTATTCTTTTTTCGAAATATCAAGTTTCAAAGAATACTTCTTATTAAAAGAACATTTATTAGCTTAATATGGTATTTACAAATAGCGACTTTCTGAAAACAAGTGTTTATTTACTTTAGATAAAAAATTTCAACCATAAATCAATAAATGTTTCAATTAAAACAGTCTCTTATCAAATAACAGGAGGAAGTCAAACTTACTTGGCTATTTCCTGGGCTTCCTGATATCGGCCTAGTAAAGTAAGAAGTTCAGATTTTCGTATTTTGTACTTGCTACATGTGGCAGACTGTTGTAAACATTGGTCTATACAATAAAGTGCCTGGAAAAAAAACGCACATGAGCCGCGTCATGACAAAACCAACATAGTGCGTTTGCGACCAGCATGTATCCAGACCCGCCTGCGCATTCACGCAGTCTGATCAGGATCCATGCTTACAAACCCTATTACAAGTAGAGAAACTGATAGCGAACAGCATGGATCCTGATCAGACTGCGCGCATGTGCAGGCTGGTCTGGATCCATGCTGGTCGCAAACCCATTATGTTGGTTTTGTCATGACGTGGCTGTCATGATTTTACAGATATACAATGAATTAATAATGGATAAAATTATTCAAAAGCTTTTTTGTTTGGTGTTGAAATGATAAAGATTTCAAGTTAAACTTACACTGTAAAGTGCATATGGCAACTTTTCAGCTTAAAGCAACATGCCGCCAGATTCATGCTCATTTTCATGAAAATTTTGAAAATGTTTTTATAAGTAAAATATTGTGAAGTAACCAAAAGGAAGCAATTTATACATTACAAACAGCACACAACCCAAAATTACCAAAATGAGGTCAAAATATTCGGAAATAGCCTTTACTGCGTTAGTAACGCTGTAGATAAATGCTTATACATACTTGAAAATCTATCATTAATTGCATAAACATGTAAATTATACTAAAGTCTTGAATCTTTTTACTTTTCCTAAAGTCTTAGTACATTTTTATCAAGTTTGATTTTATTGAAATATTCTTGCTCATCTGCAGGCAAGCAGCTTTAACTGGTGGAAAAAAAAGAAAATTATTCCAATTGTGAAAATTGACCCAAAATTAAAAAGCTTTGCAACACTTTTTACTCAAACTGGGCGGTGAAAAGCAAAAACATGCGATTGTTTATTTATTTCGGCATATAAACCTTATTCTAACACGACCCGCATTTTTCCCCATTGAATATAGAAGAACCGAAAGTGTGTGTTATTATGCTATAAAATCACTGTTTGACGTTCTATATTTAGACATGTGACTATTCATTATACACGTGACGTAACCACTAAAAATGTGACTCGCTGACAATAAGTACAGCAGCATTTATTGGTTGACGTCGTGTTAGAATCGAAATAATATATCCAAATCGGTGATTTTATTGCTTGATAACATCACTGTTTGTCGTTCGGATGCGTATCATTATTTCACTCGGGCTACGCCCTCGTGATATAATTCCCCGCATCCGAACTCCAAACAGTGATGTTATTGAGCAATAAAATCACAGTTTTGGGATATATTATTTCTTAAATAATCTATCAGTTTTTAAGTGTCAAAGCTGATCTACAAGAGAAATTTAAATTTTATGTTTTCAGACTTTTGGACCTCAGTGGGGTCCCTTTTAAGTCTCAAAAGAAAAACCTAAGAGGAATAATTTTGTTCAGCATTATTTTTCTAATAACCATTAATAAGCAAATGCTAGAAAATTCAGTCCAATAGAAGGAAAAATCGTTTTATAAAGTTATAAAAAAATCTGATATACAGTGATACAAAAATATATACCTTTCTAAAATCTTTTTTTTCATAATCGACTTCAGCCATTTGTTCAAATTTTTGCAAACTTTCTGCTATATGGAGCTGTAATTAGAATAAAACACTAATTAAATTTAAGTGAAAGTAACAATTTTAAAATATTCAAAACAAAAATATGTGACCTGGATAAAAAAAGGGATCCCTGATGTGTCCAAGGGAAAATCCCTAGTCAGAGGTCAATGTTGTCAAAGGCGACCAGAAAAGTCTGAAATTATGTAAAACAACAATAAATTTCCTTTTCAAAAATTGAAGCAGATTTGCATGCAAAAACCATACAATATAAGTAGCTATTTGAGAAGTACACACATACAGATGTGCTACACTGTTTTTACATTGTACATGTAACATCCTGACTGCCCATTAAAATCGAACACAACATACCCTCAACAACAAAAATAACCTGCACCGTCCGGGAATCAAACCTGGGTCACCCAATTTATAGTCCTACCTATTGAGCTAACTGGACAGTTCCACTCTGACATGCTGCCACACAAATTAAATTATTCAAATATAAAGAAAGGACTTGTTATTAAGAAAATAATACATATATTATGTTTATACCTCTTTTTTGGCCACTAAATTATCACTTTCAAGTTGTAGAGCTGTGTTGTATGATCGTATCGCTGCTTGAGGGTCTCCTAGAGCAATATGGCACTTCCCTTCACGTATATGACCCTAGAACAAAAATTATATATTAACTTAAACTGAATGAACAATTTCTTTTTACTAGTTTCCTTCAAAAATGAAAGTATCACAAATTAAACCAAGAAGTTTTTATCAACATTTGAAATACTAATTGTAGGCTCATCTACTTAAATTCAAATGCTAATACAAACCAATTTTTTTGAAGACCAAGTCTAAGGCTTACTAGAATAGTTTTAGTTACTATAAAGTTGTCACTAGGGGTGTAACAATACAGCAAAAACCGTATTGCAATATATTGCCATTTTGCTGAAGCGTATTGCAATATATTGCAATATGTATTGTCTTGTATATGTTTTGATGTAAAGATGGAGTAACATTTATATATTATTATTATATGTATATATTTTTAGTAGAAACTTAATAAAAATGTAAGGAATAAATAGAAAGTAAAGTGTCACACAATTTGATAAACAAAACTAGTCGCGTGTGACCTTTCACATCTGGGCCGCTTATGTAAATTATGCGGCCGCTTATTGACTTTTAAGTGTACTAGTTGTCGGATACTTTTATCTTACGTTGGCACCAACAAAATTGGCCAATTAAAGATTTTATGTGAAATTTGTACAAAATTAGAAGGCAATTAATTGAAAATTATGATTTTTATAAAATACCGGTTTTCCAAAAATCGTACCGCGGTACTAAAATTTATTTTTTCATATTGCAATATATCGGTATACCGGTAAACCGTTACACCCTTAGTTGTCACAAGATATAAGTACATATTACATTTTTCTTCTTTCTTTAAACACATTTACATTATTATTTTGAAATTATAATACATTGTTAAGGCCCATTACCAATACAAAGAGGTTATTTTTTCGTTTGAGTAAATATGGAAAATATTTTCATGAAAAAATGATAAAATTCCATAATGGACCATATATTTTTATGAAGCGCAACTATAGTTTGTATTGTACTTGGCAGGGTTGTCATTAGGAGGTGGCTGTAACCTATATCGACTGTCTCAATGCATTTTGGGCTGCCTCATAACTTAAAAAATACTCCTTGTTGTACATGATAAAGTTCATAAATAAAATGACCAACTCAATTTCAAAAAGGACTGTCTCAAAAACCTCGAATGACAATCCTTCCTTTGAAGATTACAGTCTCAATTATCCACTATATAAACATGCATATTCCTTTTTATAAACAATGGCAAGTAGATTTCATAAACTGACCTTTACAAATTTGTCGTCTATTTTAATGGCTTGTCTAGCATCGTCTAGTGCTTCCTCAAATTTATACATCATCATATAGCATGCTGACCTGTTCCCATAATATGCTGCACATGTTGGACATAAACCTATAAATAGAGCATTACACATAAACCTATAAATAGCGCATTACAAATAAATCTATAAATAGAACATTACACATAAACCTAATATAGCATTACACATAAACCTATAGAGCATTACACATAAACCTATAGAGCATTACACATAAACCTAATATAGCATTACACATAAACCTATAGAGCATTACACATAAACATATAAATAGAGCATTACACATAAACCTGTAAATAGAGCATTACACATTAACCTATGAATAGAGCATAACACATAAACCTGTAAATAGAACATTACACATAAACCTATAAATAGAGCATTACACATAAACCTATAAATAGAGCATTAAGCATAAACCTATAAAGCATTACACATAAACCTATAAAAAGAGCATTACACACAAACCTATAAATGGAGCATTACACATTAACCTATAGAGCATTACACATAGACCTATAAATACAGCATTGCATATAACCTATAAATAGAGCATAACACATAAACCTATAAATAGAGCATTACACATAAACCTATAGAGAAATACACCTTAACCTACAGAGCATTACACATAAACCTATAAATAGAGCATTACAAATAAACCTATAAAAAAGAGTATTACACATAAACCTATAGAGCATTACATACAAACCTATAAATAGATAAGAGCATTATATATTAACCTATATATAGAGCATTACACATAGACCTATAGATAGAGCATTACACATAAACCTATATAGATAGAGCATTACACATAAACCTATAGAGCATTACACATAAACCTATAAAAAGAGCATTACACATAAACCTATAAAAAGAGCATTGCACAAAGGTTTTAACCATAAAGGCACATTATGCTCCAGAAATGCTTTTATATTTTCTTTATTCTCAAGAGCTTTTTATTTCTGTTTTTGTTTCTGAAAAGTAACTTGAGTACCTAATCATTTTTTGCTCGTGACCTGTTGCCTTTCCCGGCAAAAAATACAGTGACAATGTTTTATTATTTTGAATGGATAGCTGGATAGCATCCTCACATGAACAAATCCCAATCCCCAGTGGATGAGCTACATGTCAGTTGGTGAGCTACTAACAATAACTAACACTGTCAGATGGAAGCCTGGCCTAGCTCTTTACTATTTACATAGGCTATGCAGTCTGCGTTGGTCAGTTGGTTAAAATCAGCAAGGCATTGACAACAAAATTAGACCCTATTGTCAAGCAATGTATACTTCAGTGCCTGCAGTGCTTTGATTTGTTGAGCAGCATGTAAAACCTACATTAGTGTAAATATATGACTTACTTATTGCCTGAGTATAACATGAGATAGCCTCTGTGTAGTTTTTCTCTTTGTAATGTGTATTTCCCAGCTCCTTCATTTCCTCTGGTGTACGGATGACAAGTTGTCTGTAATTTAATAAGGAATATGATCAATGTTGATCTCTGGATGTTCTAGGTAAAATTCATTTTTTTCATTTTAAACTGCTAATACTGAGAAGAAAGGTCAAGATAATAACAAGGAATTTGCAATGGGCTTACACAAATTCTACATACTATGTTTGCAGACTTTTAAGTGACATAATGCTCAATTTTTTCATTGCCAAGGTCAGCTGAATTGACTATATATGAGTAACGATTTTGAAGATTGAATTATGATGGTGTAAGGCAGAAATCGCCCACTATCCCTGGTAGATATCTGTTTTTTTTGTTTTTTAAAAATTAGCAAGATTTAATTTTTCAATAATAAACTTAAGACACATAATCCCACTTAAATGCCTCAGGGCTCGAGCTAGTGGGCGATTCGGGCGAAATAGTCGCCGACATCCTACATGAAAGCGAAGATGAAGTCGCCCGATTTTATTGATCCATTATTGAAAATTACCAACAATAACAATAACTGTGAATAACATGTTGTGTGTGTTTGCTTTGTTTACCCTCGCCGCCGGAAAAAGGGACTGTCATGCATCCCAATCAACGCGAAATGTCATTAATCCGTTTGTTTACCAACATGTCATAAAAGTCCAATTAACAGACACTCGAGGAACAATTAGACTCAGCCCATGGCGAGATTACCGATACGTGCGAGAAACCAATCGTAATTCACGTTTTAATTGAGGCGACATTTTTAAACCAATCATTAAATCGCTAACATATAACTACCCGTAACAATTATTTCTGATGGTCGGATCAAACGTCAAAGAGGACCGCTCGACATAATATTATAACTGTAACGGTAATTTTAAATAAAAGTTATGATAACCTTTTTTGTCGACGAGTTAAATTTGATAAAATTGACGGCGTATTACACTGTATTTATTACAAATGAAGTTAAATTAAAGATCGTTTCTTTCGTTATCTACTTTCATTTTCTTTACATAAGTGAATATGAATATAATCAGGGCTCGACATTAACGGTTGTCCGACTGCCCGGGACAACTAAAAGTTTGGTCCGGGCAAGTTATTTTGAAAAGCACTTGTCCGACAGGGCAAGTGAAAATAAAAAGCATCATTGACAAAATGCATGTACAAAATGAATAGAAATAACATCTTTTCATTTATAAACATCTTTAAAACAAAATACACCATGAATCATTATCAATAATGTGAATATACTACGGTCATGTACATTTGTTGATGTAGGAAACGGAAGGAAAAATATGAGCATGCGCCGCGGTAAGGTAATTCCCCGTTCTAATAATAGACTATATCTAATTTTGTACAAGGTAATTCCCGGGTTATGCTGTTGTTTAAATTTTGATGTTTGCATGTAAAGATATCATTAAAAATATGTAAATAATCATATTGATCTTTAAATATAATTGTTGAATAAAGTTTTTGCATTTAAAATGATTTATTGTTTAATCTAATATAACAACATTATGAACACAACGAAGACTCGTTTACGGCTGTTGACTTGATGATTGAACAGCTGCTGAACGCATTGCAGGGAATTACCTTACCGCGGCGCATGCTCATATTTTTCCTTCCGTTTCTTACATCAACAAATGTACATGACCGAAGTATATTCACATTGAATAAACAGATGAACCGATGTTTTAGAAAAACTACTAAATACAAAAAATGTTTGTGTCTAACTAACAATCAATTTCATAAACAAAATGTCCAGTTTATTACCTAAAACAAGAAGTATTTAATAATGTATGAGCTTGTTTGTTTTTCTGATTTATACATTTTTACCATTTTTAGGTCAGGACAAGTAAGTCTTGGGTCAGGGCAAGTAGTTTTAAAAACTACTTGCCCGACAGGACAACCTGATTCAAAAGTTAATGTCTAGGCCTGATAATGTCCGGCGCAAGCTTTTTAATAGTAAATCAGAAGGAAATAACTGTTAATCCACCCATGATATGATCCATGATAGGAATCAACTATGACTTTTTTATCTTCATTTAATGCAATGGTTGCATTACATGATACTCATTCTTATTACTTGTTTCTAACTACTTTTAAATTAAAATTGAATATTCTGTTGTAACACAAATCCAATTCATTTAATAAGATATGTACAGTGAGTCAACATAATTGCGATAACATACAACAAACATCGATAAATGAATCTCCTCACTTCTCCCTAAAGTCTCCCCACTTCTCCCTAAAGCAGCTGGAGGGAGAAGTGACTTCTCCCTAAATTTTGAACCTAGCTTGAGCCCTGTGTCTCTCTCAATGTTAAGTAATCAACTTTTCAATCTACCATCTCTAATCACAACTGGTGCATATGTAAAATTTTACCCCCCCCCCCCCTAATTTATGGTCACCTTAGGTCTATGCAGACCTGTAAATATTCGTGACTTTATCCGATTCGATATCAATTCCATTTTTTAAATATCGGATATCGAATGCACACATATTTCTAGCTAAAGAGACTTCAGCAAACAGGTTTTATAGTACTGATAGACCAAACGTCAAAATAAAAGCGACATATAAAGTTATGGAAGCCAGAACTAACATATTTCAAACATTTTTTTTCTAAAACGAAAACGGAAATCAACACCAGAGTTACCTCCCAGTGTCTCTAACAAATGCTGCTGAATTTCACTGTAATCTCGCATGTCTGCTAAGTGAGGGTCAAGAACCCCCAATTTTGATTTTTAAATGGGAAAATGCCAAGAAATTTTTTGTAAGTGTTTCTTAGTAAAAATCAGGATTACATATGTTAAACTTTAATAAGCCCATCCTTAAAAAAATGTATGTTTGCAGTAACGCGACCGACTCACAAAATTTGCCCCTTCTCAAATTTTTTTCATGGTCTGGATAAAAAAAAAAAATTTCTCAGAAAATTATGCCTTGTGCTTTGTTTTCGTTCTTTTATAGGTTAATAGAAGAAATAAAATGTAGTTCTTATTAAATTAGAATTCAGTTATCAATTTATTAATTGTTACCAGATTATCAAAGCATAATAATTATATTGTCTTCCATGTTTATTTGGGAAGTACAGTTCAATAAAAAAAAAAAAAAAAAAAAAAAAAATCGACCTACCTACCCACCTTGAAAATTCTGGGTCGGGTTACTGCAAACATTTTTTTAAGGATGGCCTAATCATTCTGGTTCTAAACACTATAATTTGTCAATTAAACCCCGCCTTACTAATGGAACTGCAAGGACGGGATTAAGCATAATCTGTAACTACGTAATAGCAACAACAACAACAAAAGTAAAATGGAAAAGGCTTTAAACATTATATAGTTACTAGTCATTAGTTGTCATTAAAAGTTATGATGATAGAACAGAAACAAATTGTTCACTTTTCATATTTTATTCATTTTTTTTGCGTGTGTTTAAATATAACTACATATTAAAACAAATTAAAAAAGACTTGAAAGCTTAATTTTGCCTGGCAATCGATATATCGCTGTATCTCTGATAATTCATTACCGATAATTATATTGATACAAAAGTCCTTATCGATGACACCCCTATGAGGCACTGTGAAACAAAATTTTAAAATTTGTAATTTACGACAAAATTTACCATAGCTGATGTAAACAAGTTCTTTAACACATTTCTTTGCATCATCGGCAACTTAGTATCACACAGGTCATTGATATTATAAGCGTCTTGAAATTTTATTCGAACATGAGGACTGACTTTTATTCAGCCAGGACCGATGGACTTTTGCACAGACTGATTATTAATTGACATGATAAACAACCTGTTAATCCGTTATAACATTGCTGATTGATGACCGCTGTGTTTTTTTATTTATCATCATCTCCAATTCTGCATGCACTACACAAAATTGTAAACCACTGATAGGGATGGGAATTACAAGCACCACGATTTTATGGCACAACGGCGAGATTGATTTGGAGATAATGGCAAAGTGGGAGCGCAGCAGTTAAAGTGCCTGTGAAAAGCCCTGAGCCATTGTAAGGGCCCATAAGGAAAATCACCGTCTTCCTACATATTAACATAATCAAGTTGGACTAGGAAGTAATGAAAAGTATTTTCTGATTACCAAAAAAATAAAAATAAACATAGTGAGTCTAAGAGTGTAAGTTAAATGTGGACAGTATAATTGTCAAATATGACTACTACGGCAGGTATCAATCACTGGTCAGTGGCTAGCCGTACGGGCCCGTACGGCTAGCCAAAAGTTCTAGCCGTACGTGAGTCACGTACGACTAGCCTGGACACACTGTATTGGCTAGCCGTACGGCACTTTTCAAAATTATATGGAAGTCGAAAATGCATATGTTATTTTGTGTCTTTAAACGACGATTTTAATCAAATCTCCGCATTTGTCCTAGTGTCTTCACTTTAACAAAGATGCTCCGCAATTTTGCACGTACAAAAAATGAATACGAGTAAGAGTTGTATAATCTATCTTAATAACATTAAGTGTCAAAGTTGCATGTTATAACGTCCTTATAATTTTCATGCTTATGATTTGTATAAAAGATGAATTGTTAAATCTGTTAATTAAGCACATGGATCGAATAAATAATGATCGGAGGGGAATAAATAAATAAATAAAAAGAGTATTAAAAAAACGGTGAAAAGGAAAAATAATTTAATAATGCAAACTTTCCTTAATGATGGACGATGGACAAACTTCTATACCGTCGGTAATTGACGCAATTATCAGAGCCCGACAACACTTATTTTCGGTGTTTTTTTTTTTTTTTTTTTTTTCAATTTAAAAATTAAACTTAATGAAACAAAAAAGGATTATTATCAAAATTTTGTAAACCATTTCAATTGATGTTATTTAACTGCAACCAAACGCTATTTTTCTCGACGTCTTGAGATGACAAAGTACACGTACATTTTTAACTGTCGCCAACACGTCGATTAATCTCTAAAAAGTAAACATTCTTGACTAAAATCCTCGCTTAAAGTCATAATTAACATATGCACTTTCGCCTTCCATATATTTTTGAAAAGTGCCGTACGGCTAGCCAATACAGTTTGTCCTGGCTAGTCGTACGTGACTCACGTACGGCTAGAACTTTTGGCTAGCCATACGGGCCCGTACGGCTAGCCACTTCCTTTGTGAAAATGGTGAAATGGTTTGTTGTTTAACAAGCATTTAGTTCACAACTGACGATTTTGAGAAATTTCGGCAATATCCGGTTATCTGCCCCCCGGGGCAGATAACTTCATCCAAAAATCATGATCTCGTGGACGCTTGTTTTTTCCGTGAATTTCATTGGTTGAGGTCACTTCCAAGGAAGGGCATTAATTGTTACTATAAATTTCGCTGTTTCCTGCAAGATTTATTTTCCATAAATTTAAGCATGTCAGTACATGTGTACATTACATATCTTGAAAGATTCATTCACTATAAAATAAAATCTTTTCACAACACTTGCAAAATGTTTCATATTTATTATAATTTTCTTTGGCTTTATTTTAAAGTGGAAACAATCATGAAAATGTAATTGAACGTTTTGTCATCCGTGTAACTTAAATTACTGATAAATTCATTTTTACGTGACTATACAGCAGTATAGACAGTTAGATATGTAAGGGCTACCAAAAGGGTAATATCATCTAATCACACGCATGTAGTTATATATAATCCGGTTTTCCTTCCCGGGGCAGATGCGTACTGAGCATTAATGTAGTGATAGTTTTTAATTAGAGTTAATAACGTTCAGTCCGTATGAAGTAATTCACACACAGTATCCCCCCAAAAACATTGCCAAGCCCCATTTTTTAAAGCATGAAGGCCCCCGAAGAAAACCCTCTTCCCGGGGAATACTTCCCCTTTAGTAGCATTTTAATATTGTTAGTAATTTATTTCGTCGCTATATATATACTCCGGTTATCAGTCCCGGGGCAGATACGTTCTAGGTATTACTTGTATGAAGCCTAGTACGTATCTGCCCCGGGACTGATAACCGGAGTATATATATAGCGACGAAATAATTTACTAACAATATTTAAATGCTACTAAAGGGAAGTTTTCCCCGGGAAGAGGTTTTCTTCGGGGCCATCATGCTTTAAAAAATGGGGCTTGGCAATGTTTTGGGGAAGTGTCTTAATAAGCATTTATAAAAGGAATGAATTTATTTTTACTGTCATTAAAAAGTAACATTATGAAAGCCTAGTACGTATCTGCCCCGGGACTGATAACCGGAGTATATATATAGCGACGAAATAATTTACTTACAATAATTAAATGCTACTAAAGGGGAAAGTATTCCCCGGAAGAGGGTTTTCTTCGGGGGCCATCATGCTTTAAAAAATGGGGCTTGGCAATGTTTTGGGGGGTACTGTCTTAATAAGCTAATTTATAAAAGGAATGAATTTATTTTTACTGACATTAAAGTAACATTATGAAAGCCTAGTACGTATCTGCCCCGGGACTGATAACCGGAGTATATATATAGCGACGAAATAAATTACTAACAATAATTAAATGCTACTTAAGGGGAAGTATTCCCCGGGAAGAGGGTTTTCTTCGGGGGCCATCATGCTTTAAAAAATGGGGCTTGGCAATGTTTTGGGGGTACTGTCTTAATAAGCATAAAAGGAATGATTTTTTACTAACATTAAAGTAACACTATGAAAGCCTAGTACGTATCTGCCCCGGGACTGATAACCGGAGTATGTATATCGGCGATATAATTATATGCATTAGGCTATATAATACGGAATGAACGATGAACTGAAACGATGTTAAAAGTATATAATTATGTACAAGTTCATTACGTCTGCTATTTTAAAACGGTATGATGAAATTATATGAGCAGTATCAATGTATAAGTTAATTCTGTTGGCTATTTTAATACGGAATGAACGATATAATGAAATGATATAAGCAGTATCAATGTATAACTTCATTCCGTCAGTTATTTTTTACGGAATGAATGATATACTGAAGTGATTTTAGCTGTCTAAATGTAGGAGTTCATTCCGTAGAGGATATTTATTATGTAAAAACCCGTTATGAACCCCTTGCTAGATGATGCTAACTACGCAAGCGCATGGTAGGTAAATATTTTATTTTTTTGCGCATGCGGGTGTGATATGTTTTAAGCGCCTGAATGATCCAGATCAGTAGGGCTGACCACACGACTGTCATAAAAATACAGATAAGAATGTTTCTGCCCCGGGGGGCAGATAACCGGATATTGCCGAAATTTCATGAATCAAAATAGAAACGGAGAATCATAAACTTTGATTCTCATGTAAAACCTGTTAAAAAGTTATTACACTTATTTGAAAGCGAAAGCGATATCGAACTTTCTGGAAAACCATCTTGTCGTTCTTTGGCAAGTTTAACAGGGTCAAATATTTAGACACAATTATGAAATTAACGGAATTTAGTCCGATCGGTTAAAACAGTAGGTAGAGGATTGTATGTGTAACTGAATACTAACTCATCCTGTTCCATAACTTCTTCCATTTCTTCACTTTTTTCGTCATCAGAATTCATTTTTTATTTGATGTTTCCAAACACATGAAAAGACACTTGACGGGTTACAGTATATTTATTCAATTTCTTTGCGTTTCTAATCACTTCACAGTGTAGCAGTCTCCAAGGTATTTTGATGTAGCGAAAAGATATAAAAGTACCAGAAAGAGAGGAAACAGATAAAAATGCAAAAACACGTGACATTAATATATTAAATTTAGGCCAGGCACTCACATTGATATTACCATAGACTTACATTAAATGAAATGGTCCATAATCCTACCTTAAAATTGAGTTTTCATGCTCAAGAGGTGATTTTTCTAGCAGAATGAAATGCCTAACACATGAAAATGTTCCTGTTATATAGCCTCATATATAGGGGTAGCCAACCAAATTTTTGCAAAATTTCTTTGAAGAGGATTTCATTGAAATTTTCTGCTGATCACAGGACCGACATACACTTTTTATAACAAACTCCACAGCGGTTACGTCACGCTTTGCTACTTTAACTGATCAGGGGAAGTAACCGCTGCGGGGAGTATGTTTTTATAAATGCAAATATCCAAGTAAAAAATTATCATAGAGACTCATGAAATATTTCATTTTCTTCAGAAAACAATGTAGTATTGAATGAATGAAGTTAAAGCTTAATGAGGGTCCATCCGCCCTTTCGGGCACAAAATGCAGCTTGCGCTGTCGAGTACGGACCCCGGACATGTCACCAGTCATGTCCTTAAATAGTTAATTTTGAAGCACAAAGTGGTGATAATTTACCTCCATGCAATTTCCACGGAGTATGAGCCAAAGATATGAATTTTGAGCCAAAAGTAGGTCACTGTACGGCGGTCAATGAGAACCTAAATGTACAGTAACCTGTGACAATAGGAAAGGTGGTTAGCCCTGAAAAGGGCTGTTTGCGCCAGCTATAGGCCTGCCTTTCAAGCCGTCTAACCGTGCTAGGGGCTCACGCACCCTAGCACACCGTCCTCGTCGACCCAATCGCCTACTTTGTAGGGCCACTCCCCTCGGCATTAGTCAGGACACCGGCAGCTGGTCCGCAGTTGTTGACGAAGTAGTGGTTTTTAACGCCCACGGAGGCTTCAGTTTAAGTTGTCTACCAGCCAAGCTGTAAATCTTCTGCCGATGCCCTGTGCCTTCTCAGCGACGTGCACGCTCCGAGGGGAAGTGAGAAGACAATGTAGTATTACCTTCTAAATTAGTGAAAATGGGGTATTTTTAAGTATAAAAACTAATTTACAATGTAGTATTACTTTCTAAATTAGTGAAAATGGGGTATTTTTAAGTATAAAAACTAATTTACAATGTAGTATTACTTTCTAAATTAGTTTTTATACTTAAAAATACCCCATTTTCATCCAATCACCTAATGTCCAATTGAATCATATGGTTTTCCCTGCACTTTTTACAGCCAATCGCTGGCCTTGTTACAATGTGATACTCTGACCTAAATCAAAGCACAGAAGGCGCTGCATTTGTTTTGGTCTCAGAATGTCAGAAAGGTGAAGGTTGTGAGATTATAAACCAATTTGTTTTTGTATAGTGCCAGCTATGCTGTTTCCAGTGTTACTACTGTAGTAAATTGGCGATAATGCTAATTGCAACATTGATATTCAATTCAATGTTTATTTGGCTTAAACAATTAGAAAAAAAAAACCAAAAAAAGCATGAGTTGCCATAACTGGGATTTGAACCCCAGACCTCTCGCTTCCTTAACGATCGTGTAACCCCTGGACCAAGGGGAAGTTATAAGAAATCAGCCTGAAGCAAATCACATTATTCTAAGTTAGGGTTTTGTAATCCTTATTAATTTCGAGATATTTTGTTCACGGTAAACCTGTTGTAAATAATCATGGAGCTTAATTTTAACATGTATATCTGTGAAATAATTTAGCAAAAATTTGCTCACATGTATACAATATTTCACAACTCTTTATGTAATACGCGCTGAAGTGTGGCTAAAAAGCGCTTTGGTTACGTGGATTAAATTATTGTGTGCCGTTACATATGGTAGAAATTGATTATCGATCGTAGACTGCCTAAATTCGCCCCTAACCTAGAGTCAACATCCTTATTTTATTTTTCTGAAAGTCTAAATAACAAATGTTCTTTAAGCCGATCACAATAATCCGAAGCTTTACGGAAATAGCTGAGCAAATTTCATTGATTAAAATGATATTCATCCGCGTAACAAAATTATTTGAATATATCACCCGTAATTTGCGGAAATGATAAAGAATAACACAATATTAGATATCTTCGACCAATCGGGAACTATTTGTTCTACTGAGAAGGTTTGAAAATTAATGCGCCTGTCATTTGACAATCTTTACGCAGTGATCTCCACTTAATTTACTTATAAAGGGAAGTAACCGCTTCGAGGAGTTCGTGACAGACTACTTGCGGATTGTGCAAATAAGCATATCAGGTTCTGAAATTTCTCTATTATTATTTGTTTGGTCTGACGACCCAAACAAATAAAAACTAAGAAATGTAATATATATTTAATATTCTACTCTGTTCACAAAAAGGAAAGAAAAACTGCAAAAACAACTTACTGTTGATTTATGAATAATGAAATTTTGTATACATACGCCATAAAGGCCCCATTTTCTGCAACCTACCTATGTACATACGTTCTTATATATACCAAGTAAAAAGTACAAATTGATGAAAAAATAATAATAAATCAAAGCACAGAAGGCGCTGAATTTGTTTGGGTCTCAGAATGTCAGAAAGGTGAAGGTTGTGTGATTATAAACCAATTTGTTTTTGTATAGTGCCACCAATGATTTCCATTGTTTTAACTGTAGTAAATTGGCTATAAGACTTATTTCAACACTGATATTTAATTCAATGCTTATTTGACTTAAACAATGTAAAAATAAATGATTTGACCTTAAATGGGATTTGAACTCCAGACCTCTCGATTCCTAAGCGAGCGTGCAAACCCCTCGGCCATGGTGAAATTATATGTAAACGGCCTGAAGAAAACCATATTATTCTAAATAAGGGTTTGTAACTCTTATTATTTCGACGCTAAACCTGTTGTTTAACACAGATGTAAATAATCATGGAACTTACTATAAGCATGTAAATCTATAAAGAATAAAACAATATTAGAAATCTTCGACCATTCGGGAACTAATTTGCTTGAAAATTAATGTCATTTGACAATCTTTACGCAGTGATCTCCCCTGAATTTTTCGGCGTTAAAGTACATATAAAGGGAAGTAACCGCTTCAAAAAAGCGGACTACTTTCGGCATTTGCAATTAACAGCATCAGAGTCTGAAATTTCGCTATCTTTATTTGTTTGGTCTGACGACCCAAACAAATAAAAATGGCGAACAAAATTCAACGGTTATATTAAAAGGGATGGGAACTACAACATTGTATAACAAGAGCATATTTGATACAAATTGTAAGTTAAATAAAAAAAAAAGAAGCGCGCTATGTGGCCAATTATAACAAAAAAAAAGTCACAAGTATTTCATCAGTTCTTTGAACAAATCAAATTCGTACCCTTTCTATGTAGTAAATGATAGATGCATATACGTATAAGCATTTTTTTTATTTTTAACGTGTTACAGATGTAAGGTGTAAACATTTTAACGTCCAACAACAACAGCAACCACTAGGATTTTATCTTTTGGTTTATGCTAGTTTGCACTTTAAATATGTCTATATTCATCCCATAACCTATACATTATTATAGTAATAAAGATTTTTGACGGATTATATGGTCCAATATAAACAGTTCTATTGCAAACAACTATTTATAGACCTTTTTACAGTACGATTTTTCCATAGCAACGTATGTTGCATTTCGCGCATGCGCATTCTGCGTAGGGCAAAAGCGCAATAACGATAGCATACATTAGCGCACTTAAAGTCTTTTAAAAGGTGTGATTTCAAGTTATGTCACCGCGAAAAATAAATTTTGGATGAATTAAACGGTAAGTATTAAAACGAATGAATTGATAATTATAATATACAAATATTAGCGGACTTATAATTCAACGACCAAAAGTCCTCTGTTGTCAAGGAATCATTTAGGTGACTTTTTCATCAGTAAATTAAATTAAAACAGGCAGGGTGTTAAAGATCACATTTTATTACCCATGTATTACATAATATTACATAATACAAAATTGGTATTCCTTTGAAAATGGATTGGTAATGGCAGTAAGTGTCAAACACATTGACACGTGACCGGTTGTTATTTGCCAGCTACTTAACAATATCATTCAACCGGGTCGAATGATATACCATGACATAGTTAATTACTTAAAATAATGAAGATGATTTATCGTAATTTGAGTAATTTTTATTTATATCAATCTCATCAATGTTTATTGATTTTTAGAAGTGACAAATAGTGTACGTGACGTGCATTTCCATGCGTTACAAGGAACCGGACAAAATGTGTTATTCCACCACCATCTTAACTTCACAAGAGTTTGAAAAATTATTTAAATATATTATGTGGTTTAAAAAAGTTCTGTTTGGCATCTCAGTCAAGTTGGATAAAGGATAAAAGTAGCTAAACTGAAAACTAGAAATGCATTATATCACGTGATATTTAACCTCGATTTTAAATTTTGATAAAATTTATATAAAAATATCTATATTAAAATATTTTTTAATATGGACGTTTTCAACAACAACAATTAAATTGACTTCTTTATTTGCTAATATATATATTTCCACATATTTTTACAACAATAATCTCAATGTCAGGTCAGTGATCGAAAGGGGGAATTCTTAAACAATCGTCTTTTCCATGCCTTTTTGCGGCAATCTTGGCCACAAAGCTATGAAGGCATCTTTTATGTTTCTGTTAAAAGCTATTTTATATGATTTTCTAATTTTTACCTTAAACAAACTCGGAATTGTCTATGAATTTCTACTTCATTTCTATGTCGGGCATGGCTGTTTTTGCCCTACGCAAATTGCACATGCGCGAAAAAATACTACTTCCGGTCATTTTGTTCATAGCAACGGGCCGCGTCAAAAAAAAGAGGAAATTTCTTCATATATTGACAGCAGCTATATACATGATATAAGCGCCACGATAATCCGATAAAAAAACAATGCTATACAAACTTGCAGCTACTGTATTATAATACAACATATGCATAGCAACAGTCTTTTGGAGAAAATATTTTTATTTGTGTACAAACATACTCTGTACATATTAAATCTGATTTGACGTTTTAATTTGGGAAGAATTGAAGCCTTTTTTTTTTTTAAAGTTAATGGCTTAGTGTTGTTATTTTTTTCTGGTCCTCCGGGGTCATTGATGCCAGCGCTATTAAGTGTTGAGAATTGAGTTCTGCTCAAGCCGGTGCTAGGGGCGTGAGGGATGTTGCACTTATCCATTATCCCTCATGTACAGACTCAATCAAACGGAGTCTGCAATTTTCATGTAATTTTGTCGTGATTACTTCTTCCGAGGGGTCACTTTGTTTCCAGATATTTTTACTTACGTATTGTTGCAGACATTGCGATATATATATATATATCTTTATAACATTTCATTTGATATAAAAGATATTTCTTAACAAGTAACACGATATTTATTAAATCATGCATTTTAAAGCTCTATTTAAAGTTATCCGACGGTGATGTTGTAGGAACATATTGCACGTGTTTTATCAACCAATACGATGTTAATCACGTGCATTAATCAAACCAATTGTTTAAGTTCCCCGACAGTGAGTTATTATGCACGAGGTATTAATGTAATCATGTTTACATGATTTTGTTGTCATGCTTAATTGTAAAGGCTGGACATTCTTGCTATAAATAGGGTCATATTATATACTACTTGTGGTGAATTGAAATAAATCAGCAAGACCGATTGTTAAATTTACAAAATTGGATTATAGTTGTGATTGATTATTAAGTAAAATTGTTTAAATGAATTAATACTTAGTATGTTAAGTAAAATTAATTGAAATAAATTAAAATTCAAACGGAAATGCGTTTTCTTTCTAATGTCTTGGATTATAAAATAAAGTTAAAAGCAAAATCACGACACGTATTGCTGTATGCTCTTCAGAGGCTACACCGTACCGTTTATTTTAGAAATTGAACGAAAATAAAGTGAATATTTGTATTATATGAGCATATTTTCCATAATTATTTTTAAATATTGATAAAAACAACATAAATGTATCATTTGGAAATTATAATGAAATGTTGCTTGAGAAAAAAAATGTCGATAAAGTTCAATGTGATGAAGAAAGTACATTTATATGACGAATAATAATATTTTGTTTTTAGAACTTTTAATTATCCGCTTTATAAATTATATGAATTATTCCATCATGTTCGTTACACTAGCCAACAAATTTCTATTATAATTCTTCCGTGGTTGGTTTCTTGTTATTTTAAATATTAAATCCTATCAAGGTAATTATTCATTGTATTACATATCTTTCATTATAAGCCAATTCACTTTAAGATTGAACGTTCTTTTCGGAACCGTAAACAAAATATATAATACAAATTCAATAAATCAATAACACGAGTTCAGATCAAAGAACGGGTACGTGGATATCCCCATCTTGTTAGCAAATAGATGTTACTATTAATGAACGGGCAAACTCCTCGTGCTAGTTGTGGATCGGTTATGTATTTAGATATAGAGCACAGTGTACAATTTGGACGGCAATTGTACTGCATTAAAAAAAAAACATGTCAAAAGAAAGAATTACCTTGTCATTTAATTATTCATTTGTTTGTTTTTTTCTCCTCAATTTTTTTTATATAAAATATTTGATAAACACTATTTGTTGTTCCAGAATATTTTGACTATTTTCTTTTATTTTCAAGTATTCTTCCCATTTGTACAATGTACCTGATTTCACAGTTATATTTAATTGTTGAAAATGATCGATGTATTATATAGACACTGCAATAATGTACTTTAAGTCTTTTATAAGTACATATTTTGATATTGGTGTATTTAGGTTAATTGCAGTTAAATGTATGCCCTAGATGACCAACAGAATATTGATTTAAATGAAAAAAAAAAGTTTTTATATATTGTCATTGTCATTCTATTGATTATATATATTAATCTAGCAAATCGTATCCTTTCCTTAATCCGCGAGTGAATGTACTTTCATTTTTTATGAAACATGTACATTCAATAAGGCCAAGAGTATGTACTATATTTGTTACATGTACTTCTTTTTTACATGATTGTGTTTCAATCAAACATTATAGGCTTGTCAGGTATATAAAAAGTATAATGTTTTTTCTTCTTTTTTTTCAAGAAAACAAAATGAGTTAAATCGTATACATTATACTTGCAAAGTGCGATACCCACACTCCAGAGCATGCCCATTGATTGGCTCATTTTTGCCGGGTTTTACTTTTTGTGCCAACAGTGAAAGTGATAGCGATAGAAATATCATATTCAGATGTTCGTTCATTGGTTATTTTTTTCTCGGGTTTCATATAGTGACAACAGGGAATGTATGATACAAAAGAGAAAGAACATCAAACACTCGGCAATCTGCTTTATACTCGGGGGATGGGGGGGGGGGAGGTCTAAGCCCCTCGTACTCTTGTCTCGATGATCTTTCTATTACATACCTAACCAATAAGTAAATATAGAACTTTTTTGAAAAATAATCACTTTAGCACTGAAAAAGACGGTTAATTAAGACTGTTTGAAAATTGCAAAAGGGAATAGACAATTAAGACATGAAACCACAAAAATATTACCGAACGTGTAGAGATATTCTGATGATGCCGAAATATCTCTGTACATGTGCATGTATTCAATTACAAAGACAATGTTTCGACTGTAGGGAAAAATTAAATATATTGTCGCGTTTACTTGTAATACAAGCATCTACATGTAAAAACAAAATTAAAATGCCTGTCCTTTACAGAAAATTGAAATAAAAATCATGTCATTCCAAGTCAATACTTTAAATGGGTTATGGAATCAGTGTGATGGCTATTCGTTTACCTCTTTGTATGCTTATTGGAATATGTTCCCGTGTTTTGACCGGAAGTGATGTAAAATACGTTATGCACGCGAGTCTGACCGGATACACTTGTACAAATAATCAAGTATTATTTGACGTAACGAGTTTGCGAAGTGCAGTGAGTTGTGCCGCTAAATGCACGGAGACCACTACATGCTATGGAGTGTTCCATAGACGCCAAGACATGCGTTGTATAGGATGTATGGAAGAATTTATTGTTAGTACAGAGACACCAATGTTGAACGGTACAAGATACTACAGGCGCCAAAGTAAACACACCTTTATTGTCTAATAAATTGCTATAAACAAGAGCAAAACAAGAGTAATAATTGTAATAATAATAATAATAATAATAATAGTTATAATAATAATAATAAAAACTACCTAAAATATAAAATGAATGTGTGATGAATGAATGAATGAATAGTTTAATGAATGAATGAATGAATGAATAAATAAATAAATAAATAAATAAATAGATAAATAAATAGATAAATAAATAAATAAATAAATAAATAAATAAAACGTGAATCAAGTTGAGCCGGACACAAGAAATTCTATCTGTACATCTATAGCATTTTGATTGTTTTGAACTCAATGGATTCATTTGAGAAATTTGATTTAAGATATTTATGTACTCGATTTATGTAAACAAAACAGCTTGTTTTTAGAATTGAAAACTGCGATCATTTTCAAAGAAATATATACAAGTAGCAGTAAATCACTTTTTATATTTCCAATTACGTAACACATATATACTATCTATATACAATATGTATTTTCTTATTTTATAATTTACAGCATACAAGATAATTGATACGAAACTATCTTGGAATGAGTCTAAGGTAACTATCCTTTTTATTTTCAAAATTTCTTTTAATATTAATTTATCCAAATATTGCGTCATTTTTGCTATGTTTATTTATTTATTTTCCTATTAAAAAGTAAGGTATAAAAATGTTGTTTTTATTTAATTTCGATCCAGTAAATCAATTTGTTAAAAGCAATTAATACTCAAATGATTTGTCATATAAAAATCATGAAAGCGGTAAACGGAATTTAGACGCAAATAATTAAAGGAGAACGATTATTTCTTAGCCATCAGGCTATTTTTGGCAATATTGTCAATTGATATTGGACGTTTCTTTAAAATTGCAGCAAAGATGTGGAGATATTGGAGGGCATTTAGCATACATTAAATCTCAAGAGGAACAACTCTTCATAGAAGCGTACATAACTCACGGTTTGTGATTAAAACATTTACAGGGTATTTCATTCTGAAATTATAAGAAACTTTTTAAAGGAATATAATTGTTTTTGTCAATTAAAAATTGTTATTTTTTATTATACCGAACCATCATTTTAATGTTTTTTTTTCACCGCGGTCAGGGGGGAAACTAGAACATTACGTTTCCTTGAGTCTATTTAGATTACTCTCCCGTGAGGGAATATTGCAAATATATTGACCGGTTAATATTCATTTCAAGGATAACGCCATCATGTGACTTCATATAAAAAGTGAGGTACATGTATATTAAATACAGTTATCTCCTTATGTTGACGTTTATGGGTTTTTTCGGACAAAGATATACTGACCGAGGGCAAAAGTCACAGGTCACAGATCAATATAATTTCTATTACGTCAAAAAATCTTTACACCGACGGAAACTCTTTAATGATTCGACAAATTGAAAAAAATGTAAAAAATTATATATATATAAAACTGAGGAGGGGAGAGGACCGCTCAACAAACGCAGTCTACAACATGTACGACTCGCTTTATTTCACTTTTTTGATTCATGCAAATCTACCCGATCAGACAAAATAACTACACAATACTATCAGATATATTAAAAGTAAAGCTTATCTGTATTAATGTTATATTTTGCTGTCAATATCCATGTTATATAGCTATTCATACTTGGCACGAGTGGGTTCAGGTTATTAAGTTAGGGGGAGTAGTAGCAGGCGCAGGATGGTCCACGATTTTCTTTAATTATTGTTTACATTATGTATTTTTTCATGTCAATTTAAGACCTCAAAACACGTGAATAGGGAACTTCATACTTAAATAACTGAACGCTTTTTCATTGAATTCTAATTTATTTCCATTGTTTGGGACATTAAGGAGTAGGTTGGGGTCGACAGGTGCTCCCCCACCCAATGAATCTGCTAGTGCTTGGGCTAGTTTAACGAACAGGCGCACAAACTCCGCTGCTACAATGTTTTAAAACAATAATGCATGTTAATCATTGGAAAAAATAAAATAAAGCTTTAGATGCTTATTATTTATTCATTAACTTTTCTCTGCAAATATTTTTTTACCCTTAAGACTGAGGTACGGCACAAGATATTTTATCACACGTGATCAGTTTCACTGCATCTAAATGACAGTATCCCAACGCAGGGTCACAGTCTTTTTTTAAGAAATCGTTAAAAAGCATCTCTTTGTGCGGCATAGGCATTGGCAAGCCTGATTTCTATGGAGTTGTGGTTTACAAACATTGTAGGACCATGGGCCATATTTATTTTTCTGCTGTCTTCACTAAAATTATCAAATGGTTTAAAGAGACTATGACCCAATTAATGTAAGGTATACCGCATGCTTTCCTCTTTTGACTTCATCTGACGGACTGAATGGAAGGCTCTATGATGGACAGTTTTTAAAGCCTCTTTGGGACTGAATTGTCTTAATATTCGTCTTCTGCCTTGCTTCGTCGGGCCCTTGTACTGGATTTTCTTTTTGCTCTGCCTACCTTTAAGGTATCGAGTACTTTAGTAATGGTCATTAGGCTGTACCCATTTGTACATATTTACACGATATTTTGTGTTTTATTTATTTCGTCTAATGTAACCTTGAACATTGTTAGAATTTCACTATGCGGGGATTATCTTTATTTACCCTGTCGTGTCATATAGGAACATATTGGGGCTACGAGTAAGGTTTGGTACGCCTTAAACCAGTTTAAACTCCCAAGTGGTGTTACTATCACAATCCGTTCCAAGGCGGTACCCCTGAATGTTTGCATGTTTTGTGATATCTACCTTATTAAATTGTCGTTAACGGTAAGTATTTTCTCAACCCACCCCTTATCACATTTTTGACCCCCGTTTTTCACCCTTATAGCCCTTGTCCCTTTAATTCCCATATGGCCCATTAAAGTATTTATTAATTCACACATAACGTGTCCCTCTCCTCCTTTCGGTGCCCTTATGTTCACTACTGGTTTTCGTTTGGCGCCTTTGGGTGCTCTGATGTGGAAGCTTTGGTATGTCGGGGGCTGCGTCATGTGAACGTTGCCTTCGTCTTGTTGATCCATCGTCTCGTGTTTTATCCATAGTGATACATAAATGCCAGAGCGTTCAATTCATAATAAAACTGTTTATTTATGATAGGGCGGATTATTTCGCTATTCAAAAATTTGCATCATGCATTTAGTATGGTTTATGTTTTACAGATATTCGAAAAACTCTGTGGTTAGGTGGTCGAAATTCAGGAAATACGGGAGAGTTTTTCTGGCAAGACGGTGATCCCGTTTCTGATGGTTTCACAAACTGGAGAGATGGACATCCCTTAACGATATGCTCGAGTGAACAATGCATGATTCTTTTCTATGTGAACCAGGAATGGGTTTGGCAAGATATGCCTTGCGGTCCAAGCGGGGTGAATCGTTACGGCTTATGTGAGTTTGACTGACATCAAAATGAAATAATGAAGCTGTTACATTTATTCTGATACTATAAAGCTATAGCCTATTTGAATTAAGTATTGTATGCATAGAAATTACTGGAATTGCAATTATATATACGATGGTAAAACAATAGTCTTTTGTCTGACTGACATGTTTCTTTGTTACTGAAAACAACTGTTTTATCTTAGTTTCTAGCTTCTCTTATATGTCACTCGTTACACATAAAGTTAATGCTATACTTATAAGCCAATCCAAGTTGCTTAATTTGTGTTTTATATTCAAACTGTGGAAAAGTTAATTGGAATATTTCAATAAAAATGTAACAAAAAGGTTATTCTTTTTTTTATAGACGACCTAGTTTGTTGCAAAAACAAATAATTTTTTCTACTTTACATTTACATTTACTTTACAGTATACATATACAAAACGTGTATGCTCCGCCTCGTATTGAACATGTTGCTTGGTCCTTATATTGCTGTAAAGACGACCCTCCAGACTAACGGAAAGGCCAATCTGCAACGGAATCAGACAAATGGTGATTTAACGGTTGGCTCAGGGAAATTGTGATTTTTACGAAGATTTATACAGTTTGGAGGGTCTGTTTTACAGTTTACAGTAATATAAGAGCTAAAGCCATTCAACATCATCCTGAAGATATCCGCGTGGCATTGTCGCTTTTTGAGCCAGCGATTTTTTTTCTTTCGCTATATAAAGTGTATAAATTTTCACCATTTCCCGAACCATTCGTTAAAACATCATTTGTCTAATTTCGTTGCGTGATCGGAAATTACTTAGTTTAATCATATTTTATTGCTTTTTCACTTTGCGCGTTGCGTTGTCGATAGCAAAAAACACAACCAATACCGTTATCGTCTTTTCGTGTTGTCGTCTTGTCGCTAGCGACACGCGCTAAACGGCGCGTTTCCTTCTGTCGTCTTGTCGTCCTGTCTCTAGCGAAGCACGCCAAACGGCGCATTGTAGTGCGGCGCGTTGTCGCTATGTCGCCCTGTCGCTTGGCTTATTAGCCAATCCTTCAATTTGAGCCGAGCGACATTGTGACATCGCAACTACACGCCGCACGACAACACGCCGTTTGGCGTGCATCGTTAGCGACAAGACGACAAGACGAAAGTCCGACAACGCGCCTTTTGGGGACAACGCGACGCACAAAGGCGTTGCAAATCAGCCACCATAGAGAAGGGTCAGATCAAAAGTTTTTACAACATTAGAGGGTTGGCCCTTCCCACATTGTCCTAATGATAGTAAAAAGATATGTAATTGGAATTCAATAAAGGGTATATATTAGCGATCAATATGATATCATTTGAGAAATAGAATTTGATTATAAAAATAGTTTAAAAACTGACAAATCTTGTATTAAGAAAAAGTAAGAAAAAAAAGAAAAGAAAAAAAGAAATAACTAAAGAATGAATAAATGAATGAATGGATAAATGAATGAATGAATGAATGAATGAATGAATGAATGAATAATCATCATGTAGTTCCTGTCCCCAGTATTTATATATTCGTTATGAACAACAATTTAAAAACTTTTATACATAAAACGTCATAAATGAAACGGGCCGCATGTAATATCAAGTATTACATTCAGGTTATAACTAAACAATTGAGTTTATTCTTCCTAAGATCACTTTAGATACCCTTAAAATGCGTTGACAAATAAGTCGTTTGCAAAATAAATAAATGTTAAGTACCTCGAATCTTACTTACTATTTCAGCATAACAAACCTTTTTAGGATAAGGTTAGGTATCCTCATTAAAAAAGTAAATGTTTGTATTTTTAAATGCGTTGACAAATAAGTCCCTTGCAAATTGAATGAATGTTAAGTACCTCATCTTACATCTCACATCATACTTACTATTTCAGCATAACAAACCTTTTTGATAATTAGGTTAGGTATCCTTAGTAAAAAGTACATGCTTGTATTTTATAGCAATATATTATAGATTGTCACAGAGCTTTGTCACAGCATTATGTTTTAAGCTTAATAATATCCTGAATTTCTTCCACTTTTGAAATTCAAATGCGTCTCATTTTGAGCTACTCAAAATTAATGAAATGCAATTTCAATTTTGATATCGCGTTTGAAAAAACACCTTCCATATTGTCATTATTTTTTAAAATTAAAAGAAAAGTATAAACGGAATAGTTTTCATTGCATTTTTAGGAACTAGACCATTGATGTCAACAATGTCAGCATATTATTAAAAAGGTTGTAATGCAAATTTGAGAAATCATCGCCATGCTGTTTAAACTATGCATTACATTTTAAAACAGTGGTACTTCGCATGGGCCAGGTATGATCTCTTAGCAAAAGTTTAAACGGTGACACTAAATGATCTGTTAACAAAAGTCAAATTTAGTAAACACTTCTTTTCGATACATTAGCAACAGTTAAAGGTTAATAAAATGACTAAAGTTATACAAATGTACATCATAGTTTGTATTCTCTCTAACATAGATTCGACAAGTTTTCTTGTGTTTTTTTTAAAATGATTTTACTTTCCAAACCGTTATAAAAGCACTGAACACCACCAACTTTAAAAAAAGTGCTAAAATAGTGTGTTTTAAATCGCATAAGAACTGACAAGAAAGCCTGTAAGAAGAAAAAAGCTCTTAGCATCTTAATGTTTAAAATTAGAGATGGCAGATAATTCTCCTTAAATTTAAAAGAAATATTTCGAGATGTCAAACTAATTTTGAGAATATCGCCAAAAAGGCTATGCACTGAAATGTTTGTTATTGCATATTTGTTCTAGAAAAGTATTGCACTAATCACAATAAAATATAAACAATGTTTATTTTAACAAGACGGGGGCTATTGACAAGTCTATTGACAAGTATATTGTAGACTTTAAATAATTTGCTTATTCAGTTTGTATACAATTATATTAAACGAAGTTCCCATGTGGCTGAGGGGTTGCTTGTCGGGGTTGAAACATCAGAATTAAAGCCAACGTTTATTCCTACGTGTTTGTAATTTGGCTCGAATAATTGCAGTCTATGCATCTCTTAGCTCCAGCAGGTGAGTTGCTGTGAGGTTAGTAACACCCAACGTTTGCCTAAATCATCTTTCATGTGTCAACGCCATATGTCGTTTACGGTATTGGTGTGCCATAAAACCAAACAAACAAACAAACTAAGCGAAATGTTTAAGTAAAGCGCCTGTCTATTCAATTATTTGATGACGAGGTTATGACCACACGCCATTATTAATTGTAAATACAATGACAATGGGAATATCACTCTGGAGCAATGAAAACAAAAGTACAAAAGGTGAAAATTTACATAATAAATATGCAATATCCTCCAGCCATCCCTTGCCCTAGCACCGGCTTTATCAGAACTAGTAATTAATTTTAAATATTAGATGAAATGACCAAAATCAAACGAGAAACGGGTTTTACTGTCTGCATATCTTCCTTATTTTATCCTTGTAACGATAAAGCATTTACCCATTTTGAGTAAAAACAAAGTGTTACATTCTTCAGTTATAAAAGCAAAATGTTAACCAATGGCACATCAATCGAGGAAAGTTTGTATATTTTATGTTTTCATCCTATTTCCAGCCTATCGTAATATTACTTACCAAATAAGCAAAATGTGTAAATGATAATGGATTCCTAATGATTTATATATTCAAACTAAATCATGAAAACGATTACATAATACTATATTTTGTATCATATAATTTACATTTCAATATGAATGCGGTATACCCATTTGTCATTTTTGGTCGTTAGAAATCAAATCAATTTCCTACAAATGTACGTTCCACATGTCATAACACTAAAGATTCTGATTATAGCTAATGTGTTTGCATTTATCATCCTTGAGATCTGTTTCATGTGTGAAAGTAGAACATTATTGCTCCAAATTTCCCGACTAACCTGTTTTATTTCACCATAGATCCATCATAAGGAAGGATATTTATTACCATAATATTTTTTTTTCTGATGAAAATTGCTTTAGATCGATACAGTGCGTTATGAAGCAATATCTATAATCATATTGGTTTGTCTTTTATACAACTCAATGTAAAAACACAAATGATGGGTAAGATAACGGCCTATTAGACCGAATTTCTGGGATATATTGCTCTCGAGGAAAAATCGCAATGTAAGAGTATCTAAGCCATAAAAATGATTTAGCGTGGCAAGATATTATAGAAGTCATTAATGAAAAACATATAATGTGATGGTATACTGTATTCCATTTTCGTCGAATGTGAAGGCCTGCATTTGAAAATTCCTGGCTGTCTGTATCCCCAAACACTGTCTTGAACAGCGTTTATGCTTTATATTTACCCTGTTGGCTTGGCTGTGGTTGTTTCGAGGGCTGCCTTCTATGAAAGTCGCCTTGCCTTGTTAATCTTTTGTTCTTACTCTTTTTTAAATAGTCATCAAGACTCATGCAAATTAACAGTTTTTAGTCGTGTATCTATTTTTTTCTTTGCTATTTACATATCTCTAGTTATACAATCATTCCTTCTGGGTCATACATTACTCTTTCTTCTGTTCAAAAGTGTTTTTGAATCAACATTATCGTGTGAATAAAATTAGAGTCAAAACATTTTCAAAAAGGAATTATAATTAAGTGCTGTTTTAACACAATATCAATGCTCTGAGAAATAAACCATTTTAATGTCTTAGCTTGATAGTGTCAAGAATTGAAAAACACAGAAATATGAATAACCTAAATTATACCGTAAACCTCGTTTTGAAAATTACATTTGTAATTACATTTTATTAGGAAAATTTGTGTAAGTATGATTGTAAATACAACTAAATACAACAGGAGTACCAATTATTTATGAGGAATTAAGAATGTGATGTTACTAAGTTCTCATACGACGAAGCTTTGAAATTTGAATTTTTCTAAGATTTTGTCACAAAAGTTTTTAGAATTAAATTTATATGTTTGTAAATTCATGTGCCTTAACTGAAAGAAAAGACATAAACATGGATTTTAACAGTTTAACATATTTGAGAACAAACTAACATAGACAGAAGAAACAAGATACAAAAATAAGACCACTTTTCTTTTAAAGCCACATTATCCCTCGGA